CCTTTGCTCTTTGCACTGTTTGTCCCCGCGTCTGTGTCTTGAGCTGGTGCTAGGGCTGAGAGTCTGCGCTGTAGGGGAGTTGCTGGCTGGGGTTGGGGAGGTGAGAAGTCAGGCCTGTTAGGGGATGGGAAAGGAGAGGACTCGGCTCTTCTCTACGGGATCCACGTTCTGTCTGAGCTTCTAAGATCCTCCTCAGCCCAGGTGGCCAAAGCCAAGAACAGACGCTAAGTGAGATGAAACTCTTGGTACCAGACGTGTGGCTCAGGTCCAGTTTCCATTTGGACCGGGCACAGATGTCTGTGGGAGGTGGGCTGAGTCTGCAGTGTCGCTCTGATGGGGGTCAGGGACCAGCTGGCCTCCAATCAGACTTTTAGGGGGCTTCACTCAACGCTGATGGGAACATCATGCCAGGAAACAATCTGTGGGACCCACGTACCCTAAACCAGATATGTTGTTCTGGGGGGAAAAAACAACAACAGAAAAAACCTGTATGATCGAGAAGAAGCTGCTCAATGTTTACCTTGCGTTCTGGTGACTTGAAAGATGGTTCTCTTTGTTTCAGTGGTGTTAGACTCACAGGAGGACCACAGGGCCTGCAGGCCCACCTGTCGCTTGGAGAGAGTGATCTTGTTTTCCTGTTCCCACCATTTACCTAAGAGATACTGGCCAGAAATTGGAGGATCATATTAGAAGTCACTTAGGCTTTGAAGAGATGGGGTAAAGTTTGAGTTAAGTTAACCGCCCCCTTTCTGTGCCTGGAGACTATTTAATCCAGTTTTAGAATCGCGTTGTGACTTCTTTTCTTTTTGGAGAAGCTTCTGTTTTAAGGAATTTCTCGCCCTTCACATCCTGCTTCTGCCTTCTCCTGGGAAGGCCTGGCTGTGGCTTCTGGGATCTGAGTTGAACTTTGGAAAGCAGCAGCAGTATTTTCCCTTTCCTAACACTTACGCTCCTTTCCCTAGAAATGGGCTCACCTTGGGAAGCCCAGGGGGAGAATAGCAGGTTCTCCACCCTCCCTGGGGGTTGGGGAAGGACCCGCCCGGTCAGCACAGTGCCTTTTCCTCTCCTGCTCTGAGCCAGGATGGATGTTCCCACGAGATTCAGGTCTGGGCAGGGGGTCTCACTGTTCCCGCCGTGGGGCTGCCTCCCCGTCCCTTCCCTCCCTTCCCCTTTGCTGGCCGGCTCTGACCTAGTCCAAGTGTCTTCTTGCCTCGGGGAGCCTTAATGGCATCATGTGGCAACATGTAATGCTGTCCTCCACGCCTCTCCAAAAAGACGTAGAAGAGCAGGTGAGCTTTCCAGAATGAGAGATTAATAAGAGATACTCCTGTGTCACAAAAACAAGGTGAGGAGGGAGGGTAAGCTTAGGGCCTCCTTTTACTGTGACCCTGGGGGAAGGAGCGTAAGGGATGGTGCAGAAGTAGAACCAGAGACACCCGGGATCCGTTCAGAAACCAGAGAAGCAATCTGCTCCTCTTCTATGGGAAGAGACAATTAGGGATGAAAGAGCTCTAAGAAAATTGCAAAGAAGCCTTAATGTTCAAGCTTCAGAGAGATCGGAGTCGTTTCTCCCTTTCAGTCCGAGCTAGGGCTCCTTCTGTATTTAGACCTCTCCTGGGGCAAGAGGGCTAGATTTCCTCGTTTTGTTAAGACTAGGTTGGCACCAGTGGGTCCACTGCCCAGTGAGGGTGGTTTCTTCTCTGTTACGTGTGTGGCTCACTGCCAATCTGGTATGTCCTTGCCTAGCAGCCTTTGGCTAGCTGGCTTTCAGCTGCCAGACCATTTGGATAAGGGCAGGCAATTTGGGGCCTGGATGGGTTGGCAGGGAAAGAGCAAGATGGATCTCCTGGGACGGGTTCCCCGCTCCTGCCCCCACCCCCCAGGAGTATAAAAACAAGGAGCCAGGATGGTGCTGGCAGCCAGGGAAACAGTGGTGCCTGCTGGAGTTGGCAGAGAGGCCCTTGGCACCTCTTGCATCCAGGCAGTCTTGTGAGACGGGGGCACGCAGCACCAGGAAAAGCAGGACTCCATTCCCATCTCTATTTTGAGCTTTGGGCCTTCATGTCAGTATGAGGAAAAACAACAACAATCTGAAGTGCACCTTCTGTCCTTTCAAAGGACAACTGTCAGGAAAGGAGGGCTGAGTTGCCAGGTGGGAGAGGGGAGTTGGCAGGGCGAGGCGGGAGGACAGACCCGGGGGTGAGACACCCTTGACTCCTCTCTTCCCTGGTACGTTGTGATCTGGGGAATGAAAAGAAATTGGACCCTGGATCAGTCCCCTCCGAGGATTTTCCTTCCCCCAAGCTCTTCCACACTTGGACCAGCTGTCCCTTCAGAGCTCAGGGCAGCCTCTTTAACTGTCACCGGCCTAAGCTGGGCTTGTCAGAACACCAGCCTGCCCCTCTTGGTCGGTCAATTCTGTACCAAGTGCTGGAGCCACAGTGTCCGGTTCATGGTAGCCCCCGTAGCTCCTATTCTAGAAGCCCACCCTCTCCCTGTGGAGGCCAAACCTGCTCTGTCTCTAGCCACAACACGCATTTACAGCGACACAGCGGGGTGTGACTGAGGAGCTTTGAACCTGGCTGGCCCGGGAAAGCTGCCGGCGTGCACAGGGCTGTCTTTCCTTCTGGGCTGTCTCCATCTGTCCCTACCCATCCCATGCCCCCACCCAACTCCCACCAAAAAGTGGAAAAAAAAAAATCAGGATGTTTTTCACTGTCCATTGCTTTGTGTTTTAATAAACAATTTGCAGTGACACTCAGTGTTGGGATTGAGTTTGAACTTGATCGCAAAGAAGTGAGGTGGAGACCCAGGGTTTCTCTTGGCTGCAAAGGGTTCTCCCGTGATGTGTCAGGGAGCTTTCTTTTCTCTTCACCAGGATGTTTGGCTAAGGGAACGAAGTTTTGTAAAATGGCGCTGGGCCTTTTCAACTGGCAGCAGCTCACTCAAGGGAAAATAAACAGTTGTTTTGTTTTGTTTCCACTTTCACTGGAACACCAGGCCAGGACTCACTGAGCCCGCTGCTGCCTCCCCTCCGGTTTTCCCTGCAGCCTCCACAGTAACCCATGGACAGACTCAGCTGTGAGGCAGTTTTCTCTGCTTTCTCCTCTTCTGGTGTGCTGTCAGTGTTGACAAGCTCAGGAGCACGAAGCTCAAAAAACTTCAGAAATTTACCCCAGACTAGTCAGTAAATGGTCAAGCCAGGATTCAAACCCAGTCTGTCCGGCTACAAAGCCCATGATCTTGCTAAGGCTATAGGAATAATCATTACAGATAGCTTTGACTGAGCCTTTGAAATGGGCCTGGCAGAAGGCCCAGCACTTCCACAGACGTTAATCTGTTTAGTCTTTAACAAACAAGTTGGTATTCACCTTTAAGAAGTGAAGTGACTTGCCGAAGGTCACAAAGCCAGCAAAAGGCAGGCCCGAGGTTTTACACGAGGACTCTCACTCTTGTCCATGACTCTCTGGCCTTTCATACCCCCCCCCCCCCAACGCCATGTTCTGTGTTTCTCCAAGCAGGAACCAAGGCCGCTGGTTTGGGGAGAGGGAGGGAGAGCGTGGCCTGCTTCCCCTCAGTTATCCCTTGAAGGGCAGAATTCAGCACTCAGCTCCAAGAATGAAACCACTGTTGATGGAGTCTGTTCTCAGGGCTCAAATAGCCAGGAGGCCCACAGAGCCTCATTCTTAGCTTGAGCCCACCCATAACTAGAGTTCTTGACTAATTTAGACTTGGCTGTTACTATTTCAAGTAGCTTCGTGTGAGCTGCCAAACGGGGAAGAGACCTGAAGAAGCCCTACTCTAGGGACTCACAGGGAGGGAAATTGTCTGACAGAAGGTCTTGGGCCAAGTGCCGGGGGTTGGGTTAAGCCACTGTTGGGTCCAGATCTTAATCTCGCTGAGGAAATCAGGCTCCCGGTTGGCTGGAGCCGATGTGTCGGACCTTTCTCCATACTTAGTACCCCACGCCCCTCCACCGCCCCCATAGAGGAAGAAAGAAAGAGTTTTTCCAACATTTACTGGAATGCCTGTTGCCATAGCAATGGTAAGAGGTCAAGGCAGAACTGAGGCGAAGCATGGAGGTCTGGAGCAGGCGGGCCTCTGCTCTCTAGCAACCGGAAATGATAGGTACCTCACCTCGGTTATTTGGCCCAAGACTCTTAGTTTTGTTTGTTGTTAACCACTTACATTAGTGAAAAACAAACCCACTTGTTTTTTGGCTTGGGCCTTAAGACTCGTTCTCCTGGGTTTTTTTTTTTTTTTTTCTTGGCCATGTGGTATGTGGGATCTTAGTTCCCTGACCAGGGTGTAAACCTGAGCCCCCTGCCTTGGAAGTGCGGAGTCTTAACCACTGGATCACTAGGGAAGCCCTCTCCTGGGTTTTCTCATGGCTTCTACTCGACCTCCCATCTGTTGCTTCCTTAAACATTGGTCCCCGGCGCATCTCCTCTCTGTGCTGACTTGACTGTTCTTTCAGTCATTGCACTGCACTCTCCCATCCAGCTCCATGACTTCCCCCTGCGCAGGGTGCCGGCCTTCAGCAGAGGGCTCGTGGAGGAAGTGGGCACTGAAATGTATTGCCATAGCGACTGTTCATGAGACACTCTCCCTGGCACCAGCAGAGTGCTTTTCATTGCTGTTTTCATCTCCTCTCAACCCCAAGAAAGACCAGTCACTGGCCTGACGTGTAAATAAGAAAACAAGGCTTAGAGGGCATATGTGACCTACGCTGTGTTCTTTTAACATCATGATGTATTACTTTTTTTTTTTGAGACAGAGTTTTGATTAAAATTTTTTTCTTTTTTAAATTATGAAAGTATGATAAAACATTTATAGGAAACTTGGAAATACAGAACAGGGTTACATATAGTTCTATATATTACAATTATCTTTTTAAGTAGATTAAGATTTTTAGTTGGTGTTTCAATATCAAACTCTCAAAAGTTAATAGAATGAATATACAGAGAAGTAGAAGGATATAGTAGACTTGAAAAGCACTATGAACCAGTTCCACATAATTGAGATTTTATACAGTATTCAAGTTCCCATAGACTGTAAACCAGGATACACTGGAACATATCCAGGGACATAAAACATGATGTACTATTTTTAAGAAGGAACCTTTTGAGGGTAGATAACAGGAAGCTGGGTGTTGGTTACACGGAGGTTTATTATATTCTTTCTCTGAAAAAGAAAAGTAACCTTTTAAGGCTTAGTGATACAAAGTGCAGAAGTACATTTAAAAATTTTATATGGGGTACAGGATGTGAAAAAGATTGATCTGTCTTAGCCCTACCTCTTTAATCCCTAGAGGATAATACAAATTATCATGTTTGGTGTATATCTTACATTTTATATGTATTTATATATATTTATATGTACGTATACAGTCCATGGAGTCAGACACGACTGAAGCGACTGAGCACACATGCACACACATATTTACATATTTATTTATTTTGCACATGTGCAAGTGTGCCTTTAGAATTCCATTAAGGAATTACTGAAAACAGTATATGCAAACAGTATACGGTTAAGACTCCTTAGTTCCACTGCAGGCACTGCAGGTTCAATCCCTGGTTGGGAAACTAAGATCCTGTGTGCCATATGGTACAGCCAAAACAAAAACCAAAATCAATATATGCACTTAAAATGTTGAAATATCTGCCGTCAAGAAGACTACATGAATGTCCACCCACTAGTCTTGTGCTGTATGACTTTGGAATAGAGGATGAATCTTTTTTGGAAGCAGGTGGGATAAAAGTAACAAATGAATGCTTAAAAAAAAAAAAAAGAGCCCTCAGCCGGGGAGAGAAGTGACTTGGGTACTAGGGAAATTACTAGCTTTCAGTTTCCCAGACCACAAGGCCCGCCTGCAGTCCCAGCCACAGCCCGCCGATTCAATGGATGCCACCTCAGGGAGGCAGCAAGAAGGACTGAACTTCCCTGTCTCAGCAGAAAAAAGCCCTGTGATGTCCTGCTTACCTTGGCTGCACCAGCTCTGGGCCCCACCTGCCTGGCCTGATTTGAGGCCGACTGCCTGGCAACTCTGAGACTGTCCTGGAAAACAGCCACTGTCACACCTCTCAGAAGAAACTAACCAGCTGAAGGAGAGGGACCTGAAGAGGAACCAAGTTGGGATGAAAGGGAGGCAAGCCTCTCCACTCCTGTCTTCCCATGTTCTGGCCCAGGCAGACACGGGGGCTGTTATTTAATGCAGTAAATCTATATTTTCCTTTTTCCACCAAACAGGGAATGAGAAGACATACTTTTCAAAAAACACTTTTTATTAGGGAATGAGAAGACATACTTTTCAAAAAACACTTTTTATTTAAGAGCCTTTTGATATAGCTAAGGAAGATTCAGTGAGGAGAGGCAGATTGGAGTTTACAGCCCTGATTTTTCCAACTCCTTTTTAAAAAGGAATAATCACAGATATTTTTCTTTCTTTTTGGTGTGCTTGCTATTCTCCTAAAGACATAATCTTTTTAACCACAGTTTACAGACAGTGATCAGAGAGAGTACAGGCCTCAACTCCCATATATGGCAGTATTTATTTAAATTTCTTTTTGAACAGAAAAAAGTGATCCAGTCTGAGGTAGCTTTCAAGTTTTTAAGAGATAATAAGGCTACTTTGACTTAGAATTCTACCTCCGAGACACAGATCCAAAGTTATTTATTTCAAAGTAAACAAGCAGCCCATGATCATGTGCTTCTTGTGATAAAATAGCATAGAAAAAAAGAAAAAATAAAATAGCATAGAAGCAGCTCAAGAGTGTTGAAAGAGAATATATCCCCCTTCAGTCCCTTCTAATACTCTGCTCCCCAATGGGAACCTCACTTAATACTTTATATCCAAACCCCTTCCATTGCAGTCACATACAAATATTCATGTACTTTTAAATTTTAAGTGAATGAGATTGTATGCCTTGTCCACCTCCCCCCACAAACTTAATCTATCTTTGAGGTCTCTCCATACTAGTACATGGAGATGGATCTCATTCTTTTTAACAGCTGTATAACATGAAGAGATGCAACTTACTGTTAACTTTTCAGTGTTAGAATGGTCTGGCATCTTTGTGAATACATATCAGTTAAATTCCTGGATGTGAATTGCAAGTAAAGGGGTCAACACGCTTGTCATCATCCCTAAAAAGAGAAAAGCCGGGATCCAGGTAACTCGAGTTCTGGTGCTCCAAGAACAAAGATTCATGGAGCAAGTGATTGTGGGAAATGGCTGTATGCTCACCCCCGCCCCGCCTATCACCATCTTAGTGATTCACAATCAAGTAGCATATTAACAGTTCTGGAAATTCTTCAGTAGTCACTTACCGCTGAGTAGTTTAAAAAGAATTGTTTGCAAAGGGAAAGAGCTTAATTCTCTGTACACATCTTAAAATTCCCAGAACAGTTTCAGAAGTCCCATTCAGGGCGGAGGAGGGGGGTAATCTCTCCAAGACAGGACAGTGTTTTGATAGGAACTTGACCACATACTGTTTGACCCTGCTGGGCAACTGAGGTGGAGTCAGGTTTGGATTTTATCCAGAAACCAGATGAGGCTTATCAGCTGCTCCCAAACCCCTCATATCAGGTGAGAGGACTCAGCAAGTCCTGCATAAATCCAGTCTTTTGAGGCTAAGACTCAAAAGAGAGTCTTAGAGAGACTCGTAGAGAGATGGGTAGAGTTTCACTTTGGCCTGAGCCTAACAGGTGACATCAGCCTTGCAGACACATTTTGCAGCAGTCAGGCCAGGGGCCTCCCAGCACAGAAGAGAGCGAATCCGGAAGTGAGCAAAGGAGCCACGTGGGGTGTGAGAGAGCAGCATCTTCCCCCTCCCACTCACCTCCAGTTGACTTAACGTGAATTCCCAATTTCAGTGCAGACATTACCCCTGAAGCCTCTCTCCCACCCCCCAGACCTCTTCTGTGTACTCCGGTAGCACCTCTGCTGCCGCAGTTAGCAGTCTGGTTTGTCTTCTAGTTCATTCACACTAGGCTGGTCAAGAGGAAGGGCCATGTAGTGAATTATGTACCTCAGTCTTCCCCAGCAAAGTGGGAGCTCTTCCACACCACCGTGCTGTGCAAGCCTTCCTTCACTCATTCATTCATTGTCAGTCAATCATTACTGAGCACCTGGTGCTTTCAAATTGTGCCGCTGGAGAAGACCCTTGAGAATCCCTTAGCAAGGAGAGGAAACCAGCCAATCCTAAAGGAAATCAAACCTGAATATTTGTTGGAAAGACTGAATCTGAAGCTTGAATACTTTGGCCACCTGATGCGAAGAGTCGACTCACTGGAAAAGACCCTGAAGCTGGGAAAGATTGAGGGCAGGGGAAGGGGGCGACAGAGGATGAGATGGTTGGATAGCATCACCAACTCAATGGATATGAGTTTGAGCAAGCTCCAGGAGGCAATGAAGGACAGGAAAGCCTGGAGTGCTGCAGTCCATGGGGTCTCAGAGAGACAGGACTTAGCCACTGAACAACAGGCATAGCTCAGTTCAGTTCAGTAGCTCAGTTGTGTCCGACTCTGCGACCCCATGAATTGCAGCACGCCAGGCCTCCCTGTCCATCACCAACTCCCGGAGTTTACTCAAACTCGTGTCCATTGAGTCGGTGATGCCATCCAACCATCTCATCCTCTGTCGTCCCCTTCTCCTCCCGCCTTCAGTCTTTCCCAGCATCAGGGTCTTTCCAAATGAGTCAGATCTTCACATCAGGTGGCCAAAGTATTGGAGTTTCAGCTTCAACATGTCTTTCCAAAGAATATTCAGGACGGATCTCCTTTAGGATGGACTGGTTGGATCTCCTTGCAGTCCAAGGGACTCTCAAGAGTCTTCTCCAACACCACAGTTCAAAAGCATCAGTTCTTTGGTGCTCAGCTTTCTTTATAGGCTGCCCAAATACAGTGAATACAGCGGACTCAATCCCTGCCCCCTTTCATATTCTTATATTCCTTGTAGCCTAGTTCAATGTCTAGCCCGAAGCCTGACGCAGTAGGGTTTAAGAATGGCAATCTAATCGGAAAGCTGCTTTTGCACAGCAAACACAGTCTTACCTTCTAGGCTGCAGATGAAAACACATTTTCTCAAGATGTCTTGTTTACATTTTACGTGCTAGAAAGTCATTTGACCGTACGAAATATATGTTAGATGTTTGGGGTGACTTCGGGGGCCAAGGGGAGAGTCCGAAGTACTAAGGTGGCGGCCCACCTGGCTGGACCAGCGCTGGAGGGGCGGGCGGGGTGGCGCCATCGACGCGGCTCGCAGGCCCCGCCCACCTCGGCCCCGCCTCCAGGTCCCGACCCGGTCCCGCCCCCTCTCTCCATAGTTACGGCTGCGGAGGCGGCGGCCATCTTGGCGGCAGAGCGATGAGCGGGTCTAATTCGAAGGCTGCGGCCGTGGGGTCGGCCGTTGGGCCCGGGGGGCTGGTAACTGGCAAGGAAGACAAGAAGAAGGCGGGCGGCGGCGTCCTAAACAGGCTCAAGGCGCGGCGGCAGGCGCCCCACCACGCGGCAGACGACGGCATCGGGGCAGCGGTCACGGAGCAGGAGCTGCTGGCTCTGGACACCATCCGGCCCGAGCACGTCCTGCGCCTCAGCCGGGTCACCGAGAGTGAGTGCGGGGCCGGCCGCGTCCTCCCCTCGGCGCCGGGCCCCCGGGCCCCGTGTCGCCTTCCGCGGAGCCGGCCGCTCGCCGCTCGGCGGGTCCAGGGGGTCCACCCAGGCGCCCCCGACTGGCCAGGCCTCGCTGCCCACTGCTCCGCCCGGCCGAGTCGGCGCTCCCCACCTTCACCTACACCTGGTTGGGATGGGTCCCCTTGAGCTCGACTGCCCTCCCCTGACTCCGGCCACGCCAGGCTTCCCTGTGGCTCGTCCCTGTTTGGCCCTCAGGCCCGGCCGACCGTTCTCCTCCTCCGCTGGATCTCTTTGAGTGGGGACGGACCCCGTCTTGTCTTCTTAACTAGCTCCTGACCCTGGCAAGTGGGCCGCTGCCTCTCCCCCACTCCTGCAGCTCCCAGCTCCCTGCTATCAGTGAAGTTCCTGCTCAGCTTGGTCCCCTCGACCCGAGCCAGCCTCTGCTGCCCTCTGCCAGTCCAGACTCCTACCTGCTTTCTCCGCGTTTCCCTCCACTCTGGCCCCCCGGACAGCCCTCCAGGTTCCACCCTGCCTTGGCTCCCTGCCTCGGCCCCCTGCCTGTTTTGGGTCCCAAGCGTTGCCCTCTTTGTGTGCAGGTGGACTCTTCCTTAAGTACATTGCCGCGGCGTTTCCTGCCGCATTTATATGTAAATAATGTATATATTAATAAAGTTTCAGTTCCACGTATAAAACCAGAATGTGAATCCTGCTTTTGACACTTGTTCTAGTGGTTAAAGAATACGTCAGAGTATCAGAAATGCATTTCTTGCATAGAATGCAGCGGTTTTACACCTTTTATTGATAGAAGAAATATATAGCCTGCTCGCTGTCCTGGTTCTCCTCCCTCTTCCTGTTCTCTTCCAGGTCATCCTCTGACTTGATGCCCTTTCTCTTGCTGCTATTTCCCCCTGAGTTTCCAGTCCGTAGGTTCGATCCTGCTTGCCCAGCCCACTCACCTGCCCCATCCTCTAGACTTCTAACTTTGAAGGCCCAGCACCAGCTTGATGGATTAAGGCTGCTCTCCTTTTATCTGTTGACTTGCTTTGGTCGGCAGCTCAGGTGGCCCTCAGGAAGCTGAAGGCCACCCCAGTGATTTGAGGATGGCAGTTTGAGGGGACGGGCCTTGGTTCAACCTGTGTGAAACGGAATGCCCATCTTCTAAGACAGTTTTAATTTGATTCTGAGTATTCATGTGTCCGTTTTCAGTCACTGTTTGGCTCGGGACTATCCTTTGCACACCTGAGTGTGTCTTTAGAAGATCTTGCTATTCTGTTTCATAGAAACATTGTGAAAAAGCTGTTTCTGATCTGACCCAGTTATCACCAGGGGTTCTGAAAGTACGGAAATGCTCACCACCTCACCTTTACTCACCTCCTGCTTTCTCGTGATAGCAAGGGTGAGTCCAGCCGCTAGTGCCTGATGCTGAGTGGCATACTCAGAGGGCACTCAGGCCCTGTGTAGGAACTTGAGCTTGGTACCGTTGCTTCAGAACACCTCTGCAGCTTCTTGGAGAAAGTAGTAAGTCAGCTTGATGATCTCTGGATTTTGTTACTTAAAGTCTGTTCCATTTAGCAAGGTATTTATTTATTGAGGCCCCTGTAAAGGGGTAGAACCAATATCAGTGCCTTGGGAAGTTATGGAATAATCAGTAGCTCTCAATTTTGCCATCTTATCGGAGAGTCAGCTTGTAAAACACAAAACGGCGAACACAGCAGGCAGTATAAGATAAAGTACTAAAGTGAACTGTGGAGAAGATGCTCTCAGGAGTCATCGTGCAAAGAAAGAAATGAAATCATCTTTGGTCAATACTATCTTGATTAACATGTTGATGAAGCTATTGGAGGCTCCATTTCCCTTTGGCCTCATGCCCTCTCCAGCAAATCTGTCCTGCCACCTGGGTGGGTATGGCCCACCACCTGGTTTTGTGCAGCCCACAATCTAAGAATGATTTTTATCTTTTCAAATGGTTGGGGGAAAAACTCTCTTGGGACACACGGTTATATAAAATTTGTATTTTTTTGTCTGTAAATAGTTGTGTGACTGCATTTGTGCTACAGTGACAGAGTTGAGTAGTTGTGATGTGACTGTGTGGCCTCAAAAACTAAATTACTCATTTTCTGACCCTTTACAGAGAAAGTTGCCTGATCTCTGCTTTGTGATACCCTCAGCAAGCATGCACCATGTTCACTTCTACGTGTGTGCGTGTGTGCTCGCTCAGTCACGTCTGACTTTTAGGTCAGCATAAATGTTTCCAAACGGATTTCTAAAAAAGTTGTTGTGTTGTGACTTCTAATGAAAGGTTTGTAGGTCATTTTTGAAGTGTTTCCAAAGAAATTCTCTTCTACCATCCCTGTTTCTAAGTGTTAGGATAATCTTCCATCTAAACCAAGTCCATGCACTTTTCTCCTTTCTTGGATCCCATAATTCTCTCCACACAACTTTTGCCTGTAACATAAAAGGAAGTTTTGGGGTATATTTTAAGTGAATTATGTAAGAAAAAAACAACCCGAGTTTGCTTCACAACTTGAGAAAGAAATGGTAGTTTTGGAGGATTATTTAACAACATTGGTTTCTCTCTCTCTCATTTTCAGATTATTTATGTAAACCCGAAGACAACGTCTACAGTATTGATTTTACCCGCTTCAAAATTCGAGATTTGGAGACAGGGACAGTGCTGTTTGAGATTGCCAAACCTTGTGTTTCAGGTAGGTCTCAGGATCATACCAACAGTAGTCAGTTGACCGTTGGAGCAAAGAGTCTGAGGCTTGAGTTTTTGCACGCCATCGCATCCTGTGTCACTGACGCCAGCAAGGCCTGCCTCCGAGCCGCCTCCTAAAGCCTGTCCTGTGGGCTTGAAGCTGTGCTTGTTGAGTATCTACTCTGCAGCGGTTACCGGTTCCACAGCTTTCTGTTTCTGTCAGCTCATGGAGTCCTCACACCTCTGTGCGGGGTTATTATCCTTACCTTACAGATAAGGAAGCGGAGGCCCAGAATTTCCAAGTGACTTTCCTAAGGTCCCGTGCTCTTTGATCTGACCGTGTCACCTCCACTTAGGAAGGAATCCTTGAAATGAAAGTATAATGAAGAAAGCCTGCCCGAGCCTTGCGTCCTGGGGACACTCTGGAAGGGCGATAGGGAGGCTTCCAGTGCACATCGTGAGTTTCTCTTCTCACACCCTTTCCATTGAGTAGTGTCTCAGATTTCCTAGTTAGTCCCAATTTGGATTTTAATCTCCAGCATTTTCTGGATGACCAGAAGGCCCAGGCCTGTGAACTCATTTGCTTGGGACCCCTTCAGTTAGCCTTGAAATAACACAGCTTGTGCTAGTGATGCGGTTCCAGGGCACTTCATTTCTGACTAGGGGACCACTTGTAGGTCTGGGGAGCATGTCACTGGAGATTGAGCGCCCCCTGGAGTTTGTTTTTAGAACACCAGCCCAGATAGTCCAGAGTTGCAGCCACAGTCTGTGTTAATGACTCTTTTTGCCAAGCTTTTTTCATCTATTTGCTATTCAGAAAGAGCCTGTAAGTTTGGTAAGACAGCTGTTAATAACCAAGTAAGTCAGAGGCTTTCATGAAAAAGTCTCAGCCAAGACTAAGGCATCCGTCTCCTGACCCCGCTTGAGATTCCTTGTGCTACCGTAATCCCGGACTGACCAGGGCACTAAAGACTTGAGCTTGAAGAAAAAAAAAAAAGACTTGAGCTTGTAGATACTTATCTTGTATTGGGAGGGTCAGGGCCACCTAATTTCCTGGGTCTGTAACCCCATTCGCATCTCTAAGCTTCCTGTCCTTGTGGTGTTAAGATGTTCCCAGGACCCAGGGAATACCAGGGCTACTTCCGGTGTATGGATTTGGATGAGACAGGACTGAGACTAGTCATTTCGGTACAAAACTGAACTGTCACGGGAAGGTCAGCATCACACACTGTAAAAATACCGTGATTTTCAGCCCATCCAGTCTTTTAAGGATCTTGATTCACTAAGGCTCACGCTGAACCAGAGCCCTCCTGCAGCACTTTTCTGATGAGCTCGAATCCCCGAGATCTGCTCTATGTTTTCTTTCTGAATCCCATAGTTGGAGCCGGGCCTCTGGAGTCTTTACCTTTGAACTCCCACTCTGTCTGGTCGTCCACTGCTCTTGGGATGTTTGATGCTGAAAAAGACTTCTCTTTTATTGTACCTTTGTTCAGCCTAGACCTGGAAAAAAATGCTCTTGCTGGACACTGGGTGGCTACTAGACACTGGGTGAACTCCTGGTTCACATTAGAGTGGCTCCCAGTTCCTTTTACAGATTCTTCATTCCTGGATTCAGGAGTGGGCTAGACCAGAGCCCATCATTACTGGTGTGGACCATCTCCTTTCTTGGGTCCCACATGTTGGTGCATGGCCCATCTGCTTCATGCTTCACTCTTTCCCAGATGGTCAGAGTGTTGGGCCTGGTATAGGCAGTAATCCAAGGAGGTGCAGTTCCCACAAGGCTGAAGGTCACGGTCTTTCATTTAAATAGCAGAATTATTTCTAGGGATTTGTCTTTGCTGTGTCAGAAATTTCTGCATTCTTTGAAAGTGCCTTCTCGATAGTTTCAACTTTTGCAGCCTGATTATTTTGCTTAGCAGCAAGCACATTAACTTGGTCAGCAGCAGACCTGGTTTGTATAGCACAGACCACCTCAGGGGCCTGGTACCCAGCTGGTCTTCCAGGCTTCAGCCTTAGGACATGGCCCAAGACCTCAGATTATATAAAAGGCAAATAGCCTTGTGTTTAAGAATAGGCCTCGAGTCTGATGGGCCTGGATCCACATCCCTGCTCCCTCAATTTACTATAGGCTCACTTCACTTTATTGAACTTCATAGATAGTGTGTTTTTTTTTACAAATTGAAAGTTCATGGCAACCTTGTATTAAGTCTGTTGGCTCCATTTTTTCAACAACATTAAAAATTTTTTTTTTTATTGAAGTATAGTTGATTTACAGTGTTGTGTTAGTTTCTGGTGTATAGTTATACATATATATTTTTTCATTTTCTTTCCCATTATGGTTTATTACGCGATATTGTATGTAGCAACATTATTTATTTTTTGCTATGTCATGTGGCTTTGCAGGGTCTTAGTTCCCTGACCAGGGATCCAACCCATGCTCCCTGCAGTGGAACCACAGAGTCCTAACCACTGGACCAGCAGCAGTATTTAATATTTATTTATTCAATTTACTTCTTTGGCTGCTCTGAGTCTTAGTTGTGGCATGGATCTAGTTCCCTGACCAGGGATTGAACTCTGGGGTTTTGATTGAAGACTGGGGGACTTTGGACCCCTGAGCTCACCTCTCTGGGTCTGTACAGTGGAGATAAAATGAAGACAACAGCTCCAGGGTTGTTAGGACCCTGTGAGGTGTGCAGGATGGAGCCAGGCATGCCAGCAGGTGCTCAGTGAGTGCTGCTGTGGGTGTCGGTATCCCCGATTGGTCGTGCTCTTTGCTGAGCTGGCGTTCCGTGTGCCCTTTCAGGCCAGGAGGAAGAAGAGGACGAGGAAGGGGAAGCAGGCGGGGATGTGGACGTCAGCGCCGGCCGCTTCGTCCGCTACCAGTTCACACCGGCGTTTCTCCGCCTCCGCACCGTGGGTGCCACGTGAGTCCCGGCTTCTCCTGAGGGGAGCACCTTCTGGTTCACAGAGGAGAATGTCCTCTGTTGGGTTGGGGTTGGCCCTAGTGGAGGGAGGAGGCAACAAAACCGGGCTCATGGAGATTGTGTTTCGCAGGGTGGAGTTCACGGTGGGAGACAAACCTGTGTCTAACTTCCGGATGATCGAGCGGCACTACTTTCGGGAACGCCTGCTGAAAAATTTCGACTTTGATTTCGGCTTCTGCATCCCCAGCAGCAGGAACACTTGCGAGCACATCTATGAGTTTCCCCAACTTTCTGAGGATGTCAGTACGTATCCCCCGACTTGTGCAATGTTCTGGATCTTTCAGCTTAGCAGGAGTGCACCTTGAAATGAAATCCAACTGGTCTGGCGACGCCCTTGGCAGAGAAACAGGGACATGAGGGGTCTCGAGTCACTCGCTCTCAGGCTTCTCGCCTCTTGTCACTCCTGTCTCACGTCGCACACTCTGGCTCTGCTGGCGGTGGGACTCTGAAGGTGTTAACACAGGCCATCCTCTAGGAAGTCTGCTGTGGGGAAGGGTGTGATGGAGGGAGATGAGAGGAGACCCCGACCCTCCCTGGAGCGCCCACTCCATCCACAGCCAGTCACGGTTTCACGGTTCTGGTCCTTAGCTCTTGCTCAGCACTGCGCTGGCCCTTTGCTTTCTCCTTAATCAGAGCTATGTGTGAAACTGAGCTGAGTGGGATTCTTGATCTGAGGAGCACCTCTTTCTCATTCTCTGCCAGTAGAAGGGTCATGAGATAAACTGTCAGAATAGATCAGGCAGGAAATAGCGAGCTGGTCGAGTCCTGGGAGCAGGAGTGACAGAATGGAAACAGGGTCTTAGGAGGAGATACGGGGAGGAAGACCTGGGGGAGGCACCAGGCAGGGAAGGCCAGTCCAGGGAGGAGATGGGCCTGATGACAGGACGAACAGGCTGTGCAGTCCTGTGGCTTCCGTCTGGCTCTCTCACATTAGCACCGCCTGTGAGTCATGAGGGGAAGTTGTCCCGGAGCAATGAGGATACGACGGGATCCTGTGAGTAGTGATGGGGTTTAGTTGAATTGTGGGCGAGGGTCTACATACACTGACCAGTTTTCTCAGAGTCCCAGATCCTTGAAAGTGTTGTTTTCTGACAAGTGTTCGGTGCTTGTGCAGCAGTGCTGTTCGCAGGTAAAGTGAGGTTTGATGAGGAGTGGGCAGGGTGTCAACTGCATCTACTGTCATCATGATCCTGTTTTTAAAGCCCTCTCCCCAGACTGGCCTGGAACATGTTGATAATTGCAAGAGAAGATTACAGCATTTCAAGTTTTTTATCAAAGGCCAGCCATCTAACTTTCTCTCCTTGAAACCAGATAAGCTAAAAGAGGATGGGGGTCAGTCCTCTGGATGTGAGCTAAATAACGTCGGTGAGTTCAAAGAATTTGAAGCAGTCACCGTGCCTTTTGAGAACTGTGGTCAGCGACAGCGTTTCCTCCAGGGGATTCATAATAGCACATGATCACTGACTCAGAATCAACCAGGGGTGGTGGCTCGCAGGTCCCTTGACCCTCCATTTAAAGACCTGGGGCAGCTGCCTCAACGCACAGAAGATTCAAGTCTGGGTCGCAGGACAGGTTTGCCTTTGCAGGGTCGTTGACAAGTTAACACCATGCGCCATCTCTGAGAAGACGCCTTGCCCCCTGCACTCATGCACACCTAGGATTCCTTTGCTCTAGGGGCGCCTGTGGGTGGGCCCAGTGAGGCACCGCATTCTAAATTTGGGCCAGAATGTCTGGAGGTGGGGGCCAGAAGCACCGATCAGTCAGCTGCTTTGCTGCATGTTGGCAGACTGGCGAGCCCCCTTCTGGTGTTCTGACTGGGCACCAGGCTGGCAGTGGCCTCGGAGGGCCAGGCCCAGTGCTGTGGCCTCCTGCTGTGGGAGTGGGGGGCACGCACCACCGGGGGGCCTCGGTGGTCCCAGGTCTCCCCAGCTGTCCAGGCCTGGCTCCCTCTGTTTTGACCTCGTTATTCTGACAGCACATGCTCACATTTTTAGGAAGGGCTGGTTTATGCATTTTTGTGTGTGGGTGCTCAGTCATGTCCAACTCTTTGCAACCCCATGGACTGCAGCCCACCAAGCTCCTCTGTCCATGGGCTTCTCCAGGCAAGAACACTGGAGTGGGTTGCCATTTCCTCCTCCAGGGGAGCCTGCCTGACCCAGGGGTTGGACCTGCGTCTCCTGCGTCTCCTGCATTGGCAGGCGGGCTCTTTACCACTGAGCCACCTGGGAATTTAGAGGGGATGCTAAGTTTTTTCCCACCTGGCCCATAGCGCAGACTCACACACAACTCTTTGCATTTTTTCCCTTCTCCTAACTTGCAGTTCGTCTGATGATTGAAAATCCCTATGAGACCCGTTCTGACAGCTTTTACTTCGTCGACAACAAGCTGATAATGCACAACAAGGCCGACTATGCCTATAACGGGGGCCAGTAGCAGCGGCTGGAACGGGCGGGGAGGCGCCTTGCCGTGGCCCGAGGCCCCGGTGCACGGAGGTGGTTGAAGCTGTTGTCTGCCGACACGTGTCTGGGACCTGGCCCCAGGCAGCCGAGGCTGGGGTGGCAGTTTCCTGTGCTCCAGGAGAGGTGCCAGGCAGTGCTGTGTCTCTCTCCCCCCCGTATTTTTTCCTCCCTTTGCCCCCTGCCCCTTAGGTCGCAGAAGTTGTAAATCTTAGAATAAGACTCCTGGAATCCAGATAGAAAGAAAGTTTATTTTCCCGGCTCCTCCAGGATGTCCTGATGAGCCTGGGTCCCTGCAGGCACAGCTGTACCAGGGAGAGAAGGCTCTTCTGTAGGTTCAGGGCCCTCTGCGAAGCTGAGACTCCTCCCTCACCGGCAGGGCCGCCATCAGCACACTCTGACGTCAGCCTGAGTATCGTCCTTAACCTCCTGGAGAGGACCCTGAGCCGAGCGGAGGGGAGGATGGGGCCAGGAGTTGAGGCTCGGGGGTGGGCAAAGCTGCCGAGCCTAGGGAGCCGCTTACCTGTCTGACTTCCGGGATCTTGGCTGCTCCTCCTGGGGCACCCCCGAGGTTTCAGCCTGGCTGTGCCTTCCTGTTCTCCTTCCAGACAGAAGACGGCTTGCTCTGCTTTTCCTAGCTCCTACCTTTTGAGTTTCTCCTGAAATCGAATGTGTCCGTTTTCGCTCTGGGAACCGTAGTGTCGCTCGAGGCTAGCACAGGCCTCGTTGTTTTGTATTTTTATTTCTAGGCTTCTTGTGGGGAGGTTTTACAAAGTGTCAGGGGTGCTCCCAGCGTACGTGATGTGTGGCTAGACTTCTCCGAGTACTGATTAGGCTCCTGCGGCTCCTCTGGCCCTTGTCCCCTCTGCTTTTGTATTGAAGCTGCTCTGGAACCATCCTAGCTGGTCCCACCTAAGTAAGGCAAATTCTGGTCCTGTGGACCGCTAGTTGGAATGGTCGCAGTGTTGGGAAAGGGGGAAATGGGCTGAGGAGGCCTGGCAGAGACATGTGTTCTCCAAAACGTGTCTCTTTGCACTTCCCTCAGGCCCTCATTGGGCGGACTCTCCCCGCCTCAGCTCCCTACCGCTGTCTATGTGGGCGGATGTAGGTGCTCAGGCCAAACTCCTGCCCTTCTGATGAGATTGTCGCCGTGGCCAGGGCTCAGCATTCATAGGAAGGTCGCAGTAGGAAGCACCCAGGCACGTGGTGCCTCTGACAGGAGCGCTGTCTCCCGTGTTGGGGCGAAAGGCCGGGTGGGGCCAGGAGAGGCGGACCTGGCCTTCGCTGCCCTGTGCTGCACCCTGTTTGGTTTCTAGAGCGTGAGTGGCCTTCAGCTTTGGTCCAGCGCTTTGTGCCAGGCCAGAGTCTGGGCTGTGCCAGAGGCTGGCAGCTCTCTCACTGAGAGAACCCTGGTTCATCCTGGGTGCTGGCCCTGGACCCAGCCCCCAAGGGAGGAAGAAACCGGGCTCCCTGCAGGGCAGGCTGCTCACCCCAGACCCGATGAGCCCCAGAACTGGAGTTGGCTGCAAATCCAGGTGCCTTCGGCGTGGCTCCTTCCCGTCCCTGGCGGACCGACATCAGCACTGCCTCTTCACTTTCTCTCTCTCACTGGGGCACCTTCAGCAGATCTGTGTTCGTTGGGCTTCGGAGTAACCCCTTCTCTCTGTGACAAGCCCAGTCGGGAGAGTTTCTGCTATTTGATGTTTTAATTACTATCTAGGAAATGGTTTGGAGCTGCCCAGAGCTCTGCTCAGGAGACCGTGTCCCAGGCAGACCCCGTCTTGTGGGCTCGTGGGCTGTCCCTCGCCTGCAGTGTTAGCGGTTGCTGGGAGGAGGGCAGGAGTGGGGGAGGAGGCCGGTGTTCTGGCTTGAAGAGTGCTGCACCCTGTTCCCAAGAACTTGCCTTAGTCTCACTGGAGACCACTATGAGGCCGAGCGCCCGCTCTGTGCTCGGTGGCATAGGGATTGGTCCCCTTCTGCACTTGAAGGTCTGGTGTCTGTACCTGGGACTCCAGATTCTTGTGTCCAGCTACTCAGGAAACCTTGAGAAGCATCTGGGGTGTTAACTGGGATAAGTCTGAAATTAACCCTTCTGTACCCGAACTGGGGAGAGAATTGGAAATTACACTTTCTCTCAAAGTATATATACTTTCTTCTGAACTCATCAGAAGCTGAATCAGGAGGCCGTGGCATTGAGAAGTATGGACTGTGGGCAGCAGTTACCTACCTGTGGGCACTGGGGTGGCAGGACAGAAACTGCCTGCCCAGGGAGACACACCCTCCCTCTGTTCAGAGCTGGCACCAGTGAGGCAGCTCCTGGAGGGAACACATCCCAGCCGACCGGCTCGCCCCGCTGTGGCCAGAGGGCCTGCCGCCTGCACCCCTCCTCCTGTCTTGCTCCTGTCCTTCTGCCCTGGAGGCTCCTGGAAGAGCACCTTTCTTTTCCTGTGGCGCCTTTGGGCTAAGATACCCTTTTAGCTTCTGCAGAGAAGACCATGGTTTATTTTATTCTATGTTTTAAAGAGTAAACAGGAAATAAGTAAAAGTAGTTCTGGGATAAAGTCGGTCATCCTCTCCTCATATGTCAGCTTATAGCTGTCTTGCAGGGAACGCAAGTTTTCAGGGCTTTGCAGGACTTCCTGAAGGCACTCACAGTCTGGGCCACCGATTCTCAAATATAGGCAGTGATTTGGGGATCTTGGAGCTCTCCTTAGACTGGAGAGTCTTGACGTGGCAATAGCTGGGGGGATCTTCAACTTGTTTTTTCAGTCGAAGTGGGACTCATTTCTGGAATGGCCTTAACAGGCTGTGTCCAGCACGCCCGTTGGGTGTCTTGCCACCCTTGATATTCTTAGTTCAGTGCTCCCAGTACTGTTACTTTTTTCTGTAAAGTCACTTTCTTCCTGGTGGCCGTTGTCACTGCGACATCAGTGAGGTTGGGGAATGGGGGCCATTCTCAGGATTACGGCACAGACTCAGTGTCTGTGGGTGAGGACCCCTGCTGCAGAGGGTGCCGCTCTACCCGGTGAAGGAGCCTAAGCGTCGATCATGTTTCTCACATTCCATGTCACGGAACGTCTTAGGCACAAGAAGGAGGTGGATTTACCCCTTGTATACAGAGGTTCATGTAAAGTCGTTGAACTTGTGAAAGTCTATTTTTTCCCCCCGTAAATCTATTTTTCACAGAATATAAGAAACGTCAATGACCAAATCTGTCCTTCCTCCCTTTCCCCTTCACCTAAGATCCTCATTCCAGTTTGTATTGTCTTTATGTCCAAAGTAAACTAGGTGACTTATTTGTATAAAATGTTATTTTGCCACAAGAGACAGTAATAAAAGAAAGATTTTCACAGTATGTGTGCCCTCTCGTGTCTCCTGACTGGGCCTCTTGCTTCACAGGGGGAGTAGGTGGAGTCGGGGTGGCCTTTCTGTAAATACTGGTTTAATGGGTAGCGCTGGTTTCTAGAGTGATTAGGACATAGTATTGTGCTTTAGGTTTCATGTATTTTTGCTTTACATTTTAATAAAATGCTTTCAGAATTTAAAATGCATATATATTTTAAAGTTAGGTTCATTGAGGTGTGTTTTAACCATACCTCATTTAAAAGTAAATTCAACCCACTTAAGAGTATGGTTTGATGAGTTTGATAAATGGATACCTGATCACAGTCATGATAAAGGATGTCTTCATCACTCTGGAAAGTTTCCTGGTGTCTGCCGCCAGTTCCCTCCCTCCATCCAACCTCTTGCAACCAACTTCTGAGTTTTTTTGGAAAACATGCATACTTTTAATATAAAACTTACATCCATGTTTAAGGTCACAAACAATGTAAGTTAAAAATAACTCTTGTTTAGACAGTTAGTGGCACCTGAAGGTCTGTTGGCCTCTGCCTACAAACACTCATTTATTTTCCCCTTCACTTCCCCCTTTTCTTCTACCCAGGGCTGGTGCCCAGGTGCGGTGGTAAAAGGTGAGGAAGCCTCAGAGGAGCATTTGCCAACGACAGTAAATGTACTCTAGGTTTAGAGGCTTTCTTTTGAATGCATTTCTTTTAAATGCAACTTAATATAGAAGCACCAACTCAGTGGACATGAATTTGAGCAAACTAAGGGAGATAGTGGAGGACAGAGGAGCCTCGTGGGCTACAGTCCTTGGGGTTGCAAAGAATTGGACATGACTTAGTGACTTAAGGAACAAAACATTTGAAAGACTGCCACATCTTTTAATAGATCTTCAGAAAGCAGAGTAAGTTCTGGTTTCAGCCTGAGACAGTTGGCTGGCTGAGTTAATGGGAGAAGAAAGGCAGCTGGAGGGACTGGGTTCCTGGGTGCATGTGGGTGGTTCCCGGAACCTGTGGAAGTCTGACTCACACCTGGGCCCATGGAAGATGCTTGTTAGGCAAGAGAAATCGCTGTAATTTTGGGGGGGCGGGGTGAAGGGGTCCTGACAAACGACAAAATGCAGGGAATTAGGGCACAGCGTTCAAGGCTCCCGTTGGAGGGGTAGGTGGGGTGCTCTGCTCCACAATTGGGAGTGAGACGTGGGACCACAGGGGGACAGGGAAGCATCAGTGCTGCCCCACCTTCACAACCTCCTAGCACCCCAACTCCTTATGCCAAGAGAATGAGCAGCAGCGTAAGATCCTTGCCCCACTGGGCACTCACAGGCTAGTAGGGGACTTGGTAAGATTTCAGATGCTACCTGCCAGAAATAATGGGATGGAGAGTTTGCCAGGGGAAGCACCGGCTTCCTCAGGGAGGTGTTGATGGGAAGGAGTCTTCCAGTGGAGGGAATGGTGACTGCACAGGCCCTGAGGCAGGAAGCAGCTAGAGATCCTGGAGAAAAGCTGCACTGTGAGGCTTCAGCGGGGGCGCGGTGGGTTTGGGGTAGGGGAAGGCTAAGTGGAGTTTTTTTAGATCATGGAACTGGATTTTAGGAGAGAGCTAGGCTCGCCCCCTGAAGAGTTTTAAGGTCAGCCTAAAACCAGGAAATCAACCCTGAATATTCATCGGAAGGACTGAAGCTGAAGCTCCAATACTTTGGCCACTTGATGCGAAGAGCCGACTCATTGGAAAAGACCCTGATGCCGGGAAAGACTGAAGGCGATTGAAGGCAGGAAGAGAAGGGGACGACAGAGGATGAGATGGTTGGATCGCACCACCGACTCAATGGACATGAATTTGAGCAAACTCCGGGAGATGGTGAAGGATAAGGAAGCCTGGCGGGCTTCAGTTCATGGGGTCGCAAAGAGTCGGATACGACTTAGCGGGCTGAACAACAACAGAACCAGCTTCGGAGACTCCCTAAAGAGTTGGAATTTCTCCGAGGCGGGGCTGGTGGGCTGAGGCGGGGCTCGGGAGCACCCGCGGCCAGCCCCGCCCCCGGAGCTCGAGGGCTCGCGAGTCCGCCCGAGGCCCGAGGGGCGGGGCTCCCGACCGGCGCAGGTCCCTCCCCGCGCGGCACTGAGGTCGCCAGGAAGAAGTCGAGTACAGTCACCAGCCCGCCGTGTCTGTCCTCCATGGCTGCCACGCTGCTCATCCGGGCCTGTGGCCTTGTCCGTGGAGGTGAGTGCGTTCCGACCCCGCACAGTGGGGCGGCGGGAGGGGCGGGCGTGGGTCCGGGCAGCGGGTTCACCCCCGCAGCAGGGCGGGCGGCCGGTCGGTGCCCCTCCGGTTCGCGAGGCCTTTGCCCCAGGCTGCTTCTCGCGCCTGCGTGGCCTCGGCCCCTGCTCCGACCCCCAATCCCAACCCCCTTCTCACACTGCACCCCCCCCCACACACACACACATTTATTGCACCTGCGGAGGAGGTTCAGTTTGCGCCATTCCTAGGGTGCCAGGCCTGGGGTTGAACCCAGACTGTGCATCTGTGACCTTGGGCCCTTGTGTGAAACGACCACAGTAATACTGCTGTTCTCCTGGAGTTGTTACAAGGATTAAAACACAGGTGCCTGGCAGATCACAGGAGCTCACTGGTAGCCTCTTTTCCATCTTCTAATTTCTCTACCCTGTAGCAGCAGTGGCCCCTGTGGCCAGGGCTTCCTTTGCCTGATCAGGACCCACTCACCCTGAATAATAATAAAGGGGACCCTCTTGAGAGCTGTTGGTACTCTCAGCAGGGTTAAGTGCTAAGTGCTACAGTTAGTTTTCATGGTTCTAGCCCAGGAGCAGAGTACTGTTGTCCTCCACATTTAGAGAAACCAGGGAAGTTAAGATCCTTGCCTGAGGTCACAGAGTTGTGCTCTTACTGTTACTGGTGTTATACTGGCCATGAGTAGGACTGTTGTACAAAGTATTCAGCAAACATGGTGAACATTCCATTCTATTCTCAGCAGCAGTGTTAGTGACATTTTGGGCCCCTAGTTCTTTGTCGTGGGTTCCGTCCTGTACAATGTTTAGCAGTATTCCTGGCTTCTCCCCACTCCCTACCACCCACCAGTTGAGACAACCAAAAATGTCTCTGGACTTTGCCAGATGTCCCCTGGGGGACCCGAGTCATCTGTGGTGGAGAACCACCCAGTAAGTGAAAAAGTGAAAATGAAAGTGTTCGTCACTCAGTCATGTCCAACCCTGTGACCCCATGGACTGTAGCCTGCCAGACTCCTTTGTCCATGGAATTCTCCAGGCAAGAATACTGGAGTGGATAGTCATTCCCTTCTCCAGGGGATCTTCCCGACCCAGGGATCGAACCTGGGTCTCCCGCATTGCAGGCAGTTTCTTTACCATTTGAGCCACCAGGGAAGCCCACCCAGTAAGTGGATCACTGTTATTATTATTACTACATGAGACCTCTTGCATTCCCTTTCCACTGACTCCTCTTCTCTCTGGCAGTCCCCCGGCCTTGGGCCTGGCGTCGCCTACATACCGTCTACCAGTCTGTTGAACTGCCCGAGACTCACCAGATGCTGCGGCAGACGTGCCGCGACTTTGCCGAGAAGGAGCTCTTTCCCATCGCAGCCCAGGTGGACAAGGAGCATCGCTTCCCAGCAGCTCAGGTGAGAATTCCGCCCTCAGCACCCAGTGATGGAATCTGTCCTCTGCTCCAGGATAACTGGTGATGGTGACAGCCAGAGGCAGTGACACTGCAGTCAGGGAACCCTCAGGGCATGTGATCCTGGGAGCCAGAAAATGCCCTGGAGGCTTCCGCTCTCCAGCATGAGGCCTGTAGCCAGGATAATAACTTCTGGAATAACAGTAATCATGGTGGATGATTGCTATGCTAACTATATACCAGGCATTGTGTTGATAATAATAGTTAACACTTATGCTTACATGTGCTTGGCACTCTCCTAAGTGCTTATGGGTTAGCACACCTGTTTCTTTTCTTTTTTTGGCTGCACCATGTGTGATGCAGGATGTTAGTTCCCTGAGCGGGGATTGAACTCATACCCCCTTCAGTCGCGTCTTGGAGTCTTAACCACTGGACCACTAGGGAAGTGCCTAGCTTATCTATCTCTTAAAACTGTCCAATGAGGTGAAGGTGCCATTGTTTTGTATCCTGTTGTGTAGTTGATGAAACTCAGATTGATGAGGGGAGTAAATGATGTGCCCAAGGGCATGGAGCTAATGAGTTACAGAGCTAAGGTTCCAGCCCGTCTTCTCCAGCCGCTGAGATCCTGGTCAGTGCGTCCTCCCTGTGTCACTGTATCATTCCTGTGAAGACAAGTGCTTCTGCTCTGCTCTCCCATCGGATTTAACAAGTTGTCTGGTACATGGTTATAAACACTTGGTAGACATTTGTTGAGATAACTTGTGATAAAGTGATTCTGTCTGGCCTTCACGCCCTGTTTGCCCATCTGGGGAATTCAAAACTTGTGATCACTGTTACCATGCTTCTTCAGCCTTGGGGCCACTTTCCCATCTTAGTGCATGTTTTGTGTTCACAGTGTACTGGGCACTGTGCCTTGACTGTTGATAAACATCTAAAGAGCTCAAAGTAGGGTAGGTGGGTGGCATTCTGAGCACCAACATGAGTTGGGCAACTTTTATGTGATAAGCCTTGAAGTCATCATTATCCCATTTAGTCCTAAAGGCATCCTCAGCTGCAGGTCTAATCTCCATTTGGCTTCCTGGAATGGTTGTGAGGATTGTAGGTGATCATGTATGTCAAGTTCATGGTGCATTTGAAAAACAGAAGCTATTAATACTCTTATTTTTACCACAGTTGAGAAACTTGAAGCACCGAGAGGGGACATGACTTTCCAAGGCTTACCGATCTGGGGGGCCAGAATTCATGCTCCAGGTGTAGTAGGCTCCAAAACCCTGCTCCACCCACTAGCCACAGGGTGTCCCAGAAGCCCAGCTGGGAAGCCCTGTTCTGGTTGGAAATATTATCCTCCATAGCCACACACTCTGG